GGTGATTGTTAGGGGGCTTCTTTAAAAGGCCTGATGTCATTCAAGGCCTCTGCATGTAATTTAACCCTCCTAGGGCCTGGAAGGAAGCACCCTGGGGGAGGCCTGGGCCAACTCGCCCGTGGGCGGGGGCCGTGGAACTGGGCACACGAGACACTGGTTCAGTATTGTGTCTTGGCTTTATACCTTTGTCCAATATCATTCCCAGCACCAACCAGCAGACCCCACTCCACTCCCAGCGCTGGGAACAGAACCCAGGAGTCCTGGCTCCCAACCCCCTGCTCTAGCACGGCTTCTCCAGCTGAGTTTCTGGCCGTCTGTTCTCATCCCCAAACGTCCCCGCGTGCATCAGCTTCTCCTTGCCTCTGCCTCTTGGAGGTTTTTGGATTCTCCTGGCTCCCCCTCCCAGCCCCGCGTGGGTTCCTGCCAGTGCTTGCTCTGCTAACCTGCTGGAAGCACTGACTTTTAGTTTCTCTCTTAGATCCTTTCCTGGAAGCCCAGGTGGACACGCGCAGCCCCCTCTCTGCCAAAATGACCTCCCTGGTAAGTTCTCAGTTTCCTCTGAGTCATCGTAGGTTTGGGAAATATGCCCTGTCTCCTTGGCCTAGACTGATACCCATCTAGTTCGGGATCCAGTCTCCAAGTGACTCGTCCTGAGTGTCCCAGAGGAAGCTGCCAACCCCTCATCACCTGTCAACTCTTCTTATGTGAAAATCCCTCCCTGACCCCAGCTAATGCCCTGAAGCAAGAGGACAGAGAGCCCTTGTTAATTTCTCCCCAGCAGCCTTGCTGCTGTTGTTTTAACCCTCTCCTGTGTCCCCGGCTGTGATCGGGGAGGGGGGCTCCCTGACTAGCCCTTGGGTAACGCACACCTCTGAAATGAAACCTCACTCTTTGTTCTCTCCCCAGGGCACGAGTAGCCAGTCGGTTACAGAGTATGTGGTGCGAGTACCCAAGTGAGTCCTTTCTCTCTGATTTCCCAGCCCTCTCTGCCCACGCGGCGCCTGGCTGAGAGCTTATCTCCCTTGGGAAAACAGACAGCCACAGTTTAAGATGCCAGAGCTGAGAGCGGAGGTGGGGGAGTGTCCCCTGCATTGCTGGGTCAAATCAAGCTCAGGTCACTGTTCTCTGACAACGGATGAACCAAGTTGTACATCTCAGCCCGTCTCCCTGGCTGTCCAGCCTCTGTTTTGTTTGATCTAAACACCATGCTTCCTGCTGAGCCCGAGGCCACGTATATTTGGCGTATTATGGTAACTCCCCAATTGAGATCAGGGCCCTTTGTCCCGGACCTTCATGGCGTCTGCCCTGAAGAGCTTGCAGTTTAAATAGACAAAGGGTGGGATGGGAAACTGAGGCACGGAGCGGGACTGTGGTTTGCCCAAGATCACCCAGGTGCGCAGGGCAGGGAATTGAGCCAGGCCGCCTGTTGTGTCGTATCGATCCTACTGGACCCTGTGGTGGGTTCAGTACAGAGACGGGGGCCTGAATGGGACCTGGGGGCCGAACGCCCCAGGGAGGGGGGCTGGGCAGGGCTGAGGCACGCTGGCAGCAGGGATTGGGTAGCCCTGCTGCCCGGGTGCGATTTGCTGTGTGGCTAGCGAGTGCTCAGCATAGTGCCGGGGTTGCAGTGGGGGGCATGGGGATGTCGCTCACTCCTCGAGCTGGAGCTACTGGCCGCTCAGGTGTCTGCCCTCCTCTTGCTGCAGAAACACACCCAAGAAGTACAACATCATGGCCTTCAACGCCGCTGACAAGGTCAACTTCACCACCTGGCACCAGGTAGGGTCCCCCCTAACCCGCCATGGCAAGGGCAGCCTGCCCGCTGCTTGGAGGCACTGCCAGGTGCCGGAGCTCCCTCTGCGCTGACGGCCTGGCCACTCGAGCAGGGTGGATCGATAGTTGTGACTGCATCTGGGGCTGGGCCTGCCAGCAAGGCTAGAACTACTGGGCACAGCGCCCCCCATAATGCACTGGACCACAGGGCAGCTTCTTGCTTCCCCACCATGCTGGGGAACACATCTGGGCCCACCCCCTGCATGGATGGATCCCTGATACGGCAGACAGCGGTGAGCCCTCTCTCAGTGCCCCGGGTGCAGGGCTGTTCTCAGCCTGGCAAGGGGTCCCAGGAGGTGGCTCGGTTTCAGCCCCGAAGCCCAGCGTTCGCTCTGGCTCTTAGTGCGCAGCGCTGTGGGCGGCCTGGGCCGGGTCACGGCATGGCCGTTGCTAGCTCGGCGCCACAGGGAGCTGAGCGGGCACTGCCGTGCAGCGCTGGGGGACCGGACGCAGCGAGGCGACCGAGCAGGGGGGCTTTTCTTTCCCCGGGGACAGGGAGGTGACCTTCTCCGTTGCTCCCTCCCGCAGGCGAAAATGGAGCGAGATCTCAGCAACAAGAAGATCTACCAGGAAGAGGAGATGCCGGAGTCGGGGGCCGGCAGCGAGTTCAACCGCAAGCTGCGGGAGGAGGCGCGCCGCAAGAAGTACGGCATTGTCCTGCGGGAGTTCAAGCCCGAGGACCAGCCCTGGATCCTCAAGGTCAACGGCAAAGCTGGGCGCAAGTGAGTGGGGGGTCCTGGGGGCCGAACTGTGAGCGCTGGGTCCAAACACATAAGCCCCTCCAGCCTGCGCTCCAAGCCCCAGCTGTGCAGGCCAGCAGCCTCCTTTGGAGAGGGAGGGTTAGAGTGTGGCCCTAACCCCATGCCACGGGGCAGAGGAAGAGCCCAGGAATCCTAGGTCGCTGTGTCCCTGCTCTGACCACTAGACTCACTCCCTCCGAGCCAGGAGTGGAGCCTAGGAGTCCTGCCTCCCCAGCCTCCTTGCTTTAACCACTAGTTTCCACTCCCTACCCAAGGTCCTGGCTTCCAGCCCCAACCGCTGGGCCATTGGACCAGATCCCAGGTGCCCCCCTGAATCCAGCTCTCCCTTTCCCTCGTGTCCAGGTTCAAAGGGGTGAAGAAGGGCGGCGTGACTGAGAACGCCTCCTACTACATCTTCACGCAGTGCCCTGATGGCGCCTTCGAAGCCTTCCCGGTCAGCAACTGGTACAACTTCACCCCCGTGGCCAAGCACCGCACCCTGACGGCCGAGGAGGCGGAGGAGGAGTGGGAGCGGTGAGTGAGGGGCACGGGCTACCCCTGCCCCGCTGTCACCAGGAGTTCTGGCACTCAGCGCTCTAACCCGCGAGACCCCACGTCC